CCTCACCTCAGACCCAAAACTATGCATCCAGACAACCATGACGAACTCAAAAACCATAGACCCAAATTAATATTTTCTCCTTTCAACTCCATCAGTGATCTGCCACAGTGATGAAAGGTCTAGACAGATTGTAAGCAGACTGGAGTCAAAAGTCAGAGACCAAGACAGCTGTTGTAAGTAAGAAAGGGCTCCATGGGGGTGGCAGTGAGCCACAGGCAAGCAGAGGACATAGGAGCAGGCCTTGCTTTAAGTTCCCTGATGAGTGTCTATGGTGGTATTTTACTTGTACTGAAATGTGATTTTAATTGTATGTTAATAAATAAAGTTGCCAGGGGTCAGAGCTATTAGACCCATAGCAAAAGCTGGGCATTGGTGGTGCACGCCTTTAATCCCAGCACTTGGTAGGCAGAGCTAGGTAGATCTCTGTGTGTTCAAGGATACAGCCAGCATTGGAGACACATGCCTTTAATCTCAATACCAACCATAGAAGACCTGGAGGTCTATACAGACAGGCAGTGACGAGGCAGTCATGTGGTTGGTTTTACAACCAATGAGAAGGCCGAACAGAAAGTCTATATAAAGACAGACAGGAAGTAGGTCTCTTTCGGAGAGGTCTCTTGGCTGAAGAGGCTAGCTGCAACAGGCGGGTAATGCTCTTAGCTCTGATCTCTTGGCTTTCGTCTTTGCATTGGCTCTGTGTTTCTTATTTAATAAGACGGTTGGTTACATCTACAAGTGTCCTTACAAGAGAAGCAGTTAAGCCAGGAGTGGTGGTGCACTCCTTTAATCCCAGCACTCAGGAGGCAGAGGTAGGTGGATCTCTGTGAGTCCAAGACCAGACTGGTCTACAGAGTGAGTTCTAGAACAGTAAGGGCTGTTATACAGAGAAACCCTGTCTTGAAACAAATAAACAAAAATGAACAGTTACATCGGGTGCGATGGCACATGCCTCCAATCCCAGCACTGCAGAGGCTGAGGCAGGACACTCTCGAGTTCTAGGCTAGCCTATGTGATGGCACATGCCTCCAATCCCAGCACTGCAGAGGCTGAGGCAGGACACTCTCGAGTTCTAGGCTAGCCTGGACTACACAGTGAAAGAAGGTGCACAGAGAGAAGGCCTTGAGAGAGACTGGGGGTATGTTCACAGCTAAGGAGCACCTGCTGACAACCACTGGAAGCTAGGACAGAGGCCGGAACAGACTCCATATTTAAAGAGCATTCTGCCTGTATCTTCAGCTTGGATTCCTTGTCTCCTGTAGGAGGATTATTTCTAAGTCTTAAGTCATCTAGTTGTGGCAATCTGTTACAGAGCTATAGGGTACTACAATTAGACAATTAGTTATAAAAGAAATCAAATATCTCAGTAAAATTCAATTTATTTATTTGTTTGTTTGTTTGTTTGTTTGTTTTTGGTTTTTCGAGACAGGGTTTCTCAGTGTAGCTTTGCGCCTCTCCTGGAACTCACTTGGTAGCCCAGGCTGGCCTCGAACTCACAGAGATCCGCCTGGCTCTGCCTCCCGAGTGCTGGGATTAAAGGCGTGCGCCACCACCGCCCGGCTTGTTTGTTTGTTTTTGACAAAGTGTTTCTCTGTATAGCAGCCCTGGCTGGCCTGAAACTCACTTTGTGGACCAGGATGGCCTCTGCCTCCTGAGTGCTATAATAAAGGCCTGTGCCATCACATCAGCATTTAAATTAATATTTAAAAACAGCTGTAGAAATGGAGGGGCACATCCAGCCCTTTATCCCAGTACCTTTTCCTGTCTCTTCATTTCGGCCTTCCTCTAAGGGCATCTCAACTAAGAGACACTTGGTATTTATTTATTTTTATTTATAGAGCTTTATTTATTTATTTATTTATTTTTGTTTTTCAAAACAGGGTTTCACTGTGTAACAGCCTTGGCTGTTCTAGAACTCACTCTGTAGACCAGACTGGCCTTGAACTCACAGAGATCCTCCTGCCTCTGCCTCCTGAGTGCTGGGATTAAAGGCGTGCACCACCACCACACAGTTGATTTATTAATTTTTATTTTATGTGTACAGTGCTTTGCTTCCATGTAGATCTGTGCACCATGTATATGCAGGACCTGCAGAGGCCAGAAAAGGGCTTCACACCCTCTGGAACAGGAGTTACAGTGGATGTGAGGCACCATGTGGGTGCTGGGCCTCCAACCTGCAAGTGTTCTTACCTGAAGAACCATCTCAACAGCCGCTGCTGGTATTTACTTTTAACCTAAGTAATTTAGCCAAGTCAAGTTTGTAGTGAGCAATGATCTGTTGTTAGAACTTACTCCTCTCATCTCTTATCTTGGACATTCTTGGGGTCTTTCTGAAGGAGGGTTTATAAAAAAGGTCCCATTATGCAGCCCAGGCCACCACACCTGTCATGACCATGCCTTCTTTTTTGTTTGTTTGTTTTGGTTTTTTTGAGACAGGGTTTCTCTGTGTAGCTTTGGAGCCTGTCCTGGAACTCACTCTGTAGCCCAGGCTGGTCTCGAACTCACAGAGATCCACCTGCCTCTGCCTCCCGAGTGCTGGGATTAAAGGTGTGAGCCACTGCCGCCCAGCAACCATCCTTCTTAATTCAACCTCTCCTAGTAATTTACACCTTATTTCATCCCTATTTTTAATGGCAACTCAAAATCTTGACAATTATTTAAACTTACATGTACCTGTCAATGCCTAGGAAATCTCAGCTATCTTTATATCTTTCTCTCCTTTTCTCCTTTGCTATAGTATAGAACATACTGCGCTAATTTGGGACTCCTAAAATACATTTTTTCATATAACCTTTTACTTGTTTAGACTTAGGTTTTGCTGGTTCCTTTGCATATGTTTTTGTGTGTGACTGTTTTATGAGGCACTGCCATACTCTGTGGTCCAGGCTGGTCCTGAACTTTATGACCTTCCTGCCTCAGCCTTCCCAGTCTTGGGATTACAAACATGAGCCACGACACCCGGCTCTGTACAACTTCTGTACCTTGTGGGTATGTTTCTTGTTTTCAGGTATATTTACTCAGCTTCTTAATAGTAAGAGGTCTTAGTAACTAACTTTTTGAGTCCCTCCATATCTAAAAATACCACTGCCTTTTTTTCCCCCCTTTCATTAGTGACAGTCTGGACAGAGTTCTCAGTTTTAAATCATTTCCCCTCAAGCTTTAGAAGACACTGTTTGGCTAATGTTACTGACACAGCATTCTCTGATAATGCAGCTCCAGACTTCCTTGATCTAATCAAACCTTTCCTGATTTATTTATAAACCCCAGTGCTACTTCTAAACTCCAACACAATGAGCAAACCAAAGCTCCCTAGAGTGTCATCACTAGAGACTGACAGTCCCTCCTAACCTGAAAGACCATTTTCTTGTGCTTTCACAAGGTGACACGGTGCAGTAAGACATGGGGAGTAAATATGATTCTGAGCTGCAAAGTGAGATTATCTGCTGTGTCCTTAGACTCAATATGTGTGTCCCTCAAAACTCACACATTGTTGTAGGTTTGAGCCTGTGGAAGTAGAGACTGAAGGATAATCAGGGTAGGACAAGCTTATTTGTGTACCCTTGGGTTGGGGGATTATGGCTTCATGAAAAGAGAAATTCTAAAGTCAGTTTGAGCCACATCCTCCTCACATGGAGGATTCAGTAAGAAGGTGGCTATTTGCACTGAGAAAAGAGACCTCACTGGAACACAACCATTCGAGCAACCGTGATCTCAGACCCGAAGCCCTCCAACTGTGAGAAGTAAATGTGTGTTGTTTAAGTGCACTCCCCACCCTTCTGGAGGCTCTATGCATTTTTTTATGCATCCCAGGCTGGCCTGCAGCTGGCTTTGTAGGTCAAGACGATGCTGAGCTTCTGCTCCTCTTGTTCTCCTGTTTCTGCCTTCCAGTGTTGGGGTTATAGCGTGCATGACCCGGCCTGGTTTTCAGTCTGTGGTATTTTGGTGCAACAGCTCAGCTAACTAAGGCAAGTATCACAACCATGTCTACAACCAAATGATTTTGGTATTTTTCCCCAGCAAAAAGCCATATGCAGACTGAATGAGCTTTTTACTTTTATTGAGCAACTTAATTATAAATAATTGAATAGAACCAGCAATTAGCATAAAAAATACATTTCAGGTCAAAAGGGACACAAAGTGAAACCTATTAAGCAATTTGACAGAGCCTAAGGAAACACTGACTCCCTTGAATGTGGTGGACAGACACCATGAGGCTGACTAGAGTATCTGGACCTGGAGTTCCCCACAAACTGAGCCCAGGGGCTTCCATTGATTGCACCTGCACTCAGGACCCCACACTGTGAGAAAGGCCTTTAGGTCCAGGTAACAATTCAACCAGAAGACCTGCTTCATCATGCTTGTAACAAAATGAAACATCACCTCCATCCTTTCACGGGGTGATGTGATCACCTCTGCTCCAAGGGAGTCAGCCACTAAAACCAGTCAATCATTTGCATACTGGAAGGCTGGCACTATACTCTCACCTTTTTGGGGTCCATGTTGAATTTCTTTCTTCCCATGGCTATTTGCTTGTTCCTCTGAGTAGTTTTGCTGTTGGTTTTAAACAATTGAAAAAAATCATTAGTGCGAACTTCCAGAGAGTGCAGCAGAATCACACCCTCCTGTGCCTTTTCCACCTCAGGTCAAGCTGAGACAGAAAACGACGGTGTCCAGCAGAGCCCACCACCCTCAGGAGCACGTCTTCAGAAAGGATACTGGTGAAAAGCAGTGCCTTTCTAAAAAAACTAAAGATGGAGTTCCTCATGGTACAGAAAGGATAACTCAGAGTCCCGAGCCTACAAAGCTGGCGAGGACACAGGAGGCAGGGAGGAGGGACGGACGGACGTCTCCAAAGTCTCCCACTCCCCAGCCTGGCCCTGAACCCACTGGTGAGCTCAGCTAGAGGGAGGTGGAGGGAATAAAGAGTATCCAATAAGTAACCTCAAAGTACAGTCATGAACACTTTACCTTTCCTCCACTGAAGTTAAGTTATCAATCTCTGTCATCACTTCTGCAATTTCATATTTCAGCCTCTGTCAAAAAAAGAAGGAATTGGATCATGGGGTATCTAAACTATCCTATACACAGAGGTTCAGAGCCATCTTGGTCTTCCAGGCACAAGCTTTCCCAAGGACCCATATGAGCATCACAAGGCCAAAACCTAACACCTGTATAAGTAAGGTAGACTCAATGTCAGAGGCAGCATAGAACAGGGAACTATCTCTCTCTCTCTCTCTCTCTCTCTCTCTCTCTCTCTCTCTCTCTCTCTCTCTCTCTCTCTCTCTCTCTCTGTCCATCTCTCATCAGACACATCACTGGGGTCCACTAGGCAGGTTCTGAAGTACTTGTGTGAAAAAGCAAGAAAGAAGCAAAAAAAAAAAAAACCCCTCACGTAAAAGCAAGTAGTGGGTCCTTAGCTCACTTCACTGTAGTCATTACACATAACGAGAGGCATGGGTAGCCTGAATTCTCAGGGGAAGCTGAAACCTAGGTATGTCTAGGTTGACATCAGGTTTGCCAGTCAATAGTCTCATGACTATCACTTCACAAGAGATGAAACTCCATGTGGCTACAGAAACAGCTCAGAAGTTAAGAGTATGTACTACAACTCTCTTCCAGAGAACCTAAGTTCAATTCCCAGCACAAGTATCAGGTGGCTTACAATCACCTTTCAGTCTGGCTCCAGGGGATCCTACTCCTCTGGCCTCTGTGGGCATGTGCACTAATGTGCATATACCCACACATATACACGTAATTTAAAGTAATAATAAAAATTTAAAGTGATAATTATGATTTTTTTAAAAAGAGAGAGAGAGATGAAGCCCCCAAGGACAAGGTCCAACTCAGAGACATCAGAAGCAGAGGAGACAGAAATTGTTTACTCCCTACTGGCTGGCTTCCCAGCCTCCCTGAGCCTCAGACAGCATCCTGGGTGACAGGATGAAGCAGCCAGTGTTCAGGGAAGAGTCCATATTATTGAGCAGTATGATCATTACTGTCCACATGATATGCATTCTTAATTCTTTAGACAAAGGACTTATGTGGGTTGCAGAATTTTCCAAGAATGCAGGCTAACCTTGAGCCAAAGTTGCCACCAATTACCTCTCAAGTACAAAGACATTTTATTCAGAACCCTATTATGTGTGTGCCAGCAAGTTCAGACTTAAACAAGTTCCTAGAAAGGAGTCATTGTCTAGGACAAGGCCTGCTCTACAGTGAGTGGCCTATGAGGCAACATTTACTTTGGCAATCACAATGACTATGAAGCTTCTCAAAAAAGGGCCACACGACTCACTTTCCTGAGGAAGCCTCACACCAAAGGACCCATGAGGCCTCTGAGTGGTCTCTGAAGCATCAGACACTTTAGGTCTGAAACTGTGGCTTCATTCATTTCCCCTCCTGTGGGACACCCCTCAGCCCTGGCCTCTGAGTCAAGTACACAAATGTGGGGAGGCAGTGTTTATCCATCTGTTTTATTCATCTTTGTTTAAATTTGTCATTCTGCTCCTACCACCACCAAGTAGGCACTTAGTATACAGCTGGAATCCAGTACATGTTTGTCTGTTCACTCAAAGGACACTGGACTGCCAAAAAAGTAGCAGGTACCTATCCAAGTGCTTGTGACTGGGGCCACAAGTCAACTACTTGGAATGCCGGTCCCACCACTGTCGTCTCTGCTCCAGAGCTTGTGTTGTCTGGGATGGAGTCTTTGCCACCTCAGCCCAGAGAACTCCTATCTCTGTCTCCATGGTGCTCACACTTTTCCCATTTTCTTGAAGCTACCCTATCAGCATTCCACACAAATTCAAGGTAGACACTTTGCTGTTGGCGTTTTACCTCAATGTCATCAATAAGCTCCTTTTTCCTTCTACGAATGTCCAAAAGCTCTTCTCGCTCTTCTAATGACAGGTCTTCAGGCACTGAAAAGAGGAAGAATGAAAGAAAGGAAGAAGGTCAACAACTTTGGGGGGAAAGCTGGCAAGGCTGGAGACTAGAGGTAGGAAGCATCTACCCTTGGCTCACTTCCCCACCCACCCCCGCCCTACCCTGCAGAGACTGCCAACTTCTCTAGAGGAAAACAGAAGCTACATACATCTGTACACACCTTACCCCACCAAAATGCTGATTAGCCTGCTCAGAGTCTTACCACCAACCTTCCCCACCCACGGAGCCCCGCTGAGAGGTTAACATGCTGGGGTACTTCTCTGTAGCCTCTTGTAGCACTACAGATACTGGCCAACCAGCACACCTGGTTAAGACCTTCCGGCTGTACTCAGCTCTTGACTGTTTCTTAGCCTTTCACTCTCAAAGTGCTACATCTGTAACACATAAAACATGCACCGAACCAGACACACAAAGCTAAGAAAGGTCAATGTGGTTACACCTTGCAGAGTGAGAAACACAGTGGGAAAGCAGCATGATGCTAGCCTCCCACTCAAGCCCCACCACAAGCCTTACAGAACTACAGACTTTCTTATGCATATCTACCTGATAGTATAAAAATGCATGTTCACTTCATTAGAATGCCTGGGGCTGGGACTGGGAGCAGGACATGAGCACAGATGGACACAGACACTTCAGGAAGCACTCAGGTACATCAGACAGCATCATGGACACACATGTCATGTCCAGCAGCTTTCTTTTAAGTATATACAGCAGAAAACTCTCCAGCAGTGCATCAAAAAGTACAATAATGTTGAAGAAGCACATTTTATAGATTAAAAGCAAAGAAGTTAAATGTCCATCTACAGTAGGATGGGTAAATGTGCTAGAATCTCACAGAAGTGAGAATGAAAAACTACAAGCAACAAACAGGTGATTTCAGGACATTTGTGTAGACATTAGATACATTCTCTTATGGACCAGAAAAGCAAAAAAGTAAATAATACATTGTTTAGGTATTGTCTCAGTTTTGCACCCTGTTGCCATGATAAAATACCCTGACAACAGCATATTAAGGGAGAAAGGGTGTATTTGGCCCACAATTCCAATGTATTGTCATAGGGATGCCATGGGAGTTTGAACACCCAACTACAGTCCAGAGCAGAGAGCAATGAGTGTGTTACCATGCTCATTTCATGGACTAGGACTCAGCCATGAAATGGTGCTGCCCATTCAGAGTTGGTCTTTCCCACTTCAACCCAATAAAGAAAATCCCTCACAGCCATGACCACAAACCAAGCTAATCTAGATAATCTGTCATTGAAACGTCTTTCCCAGGTAATTCTAGATTATGTCAAGTTGATAATTAAAACTAATGATCATGAGGATGGAGAGATGGCTTAGAGGGTAAGAGTACTGGCTGTTCTTCCATAGGACCTGGGTTCAATTCCCAGCACCCATATGGCAGCTCACAACTATCTGTAACTCTAGCTCCAGGGGATCCAACACCCTCACACAGACATACATGCAGAGAAAACACCAGTTTACATAAAAATAACTTTAAAAAAGAAAAAAAACTAACCATCATAGGCATATAAATACATGTCATAAAATAATTAGAACAATTACAGAGCTCATAATAAGCATGGCCTTTAGGGAGAGAAGGAAGAACATGGAATAAAGGTGGGAAGCAGAGAATACGTCATATTACTGACTTCCTCCTTCCTCTACTAGCTCTGCACTGAAACTGAATGACACCTTAGCAATGTCCTTAGGCGATCTTCTCTGCCAAGAAATTACAAAGGGAAGAGCAACTAAACAGGGCTATAAAACAACTGAGCCCTCAAAACACCATGAAGACAGCCATTACTATCTCTATTGTATAACTGAGGCCAAGAGAGATGAAATGATTTTCCCTAGAGAAGAGATATTGAAGACATAATGGTGCTGCAAAGATGCTCAGCAGTTAAGAGCACATGCTGCTCCATCAAGAGGCTCAGAGTTTGATCCCACATCAGGCAGTTCACAGGTGTCCGTGACTCTGAATCCAAGGGGCCAGATGCCCCTTCTGGAATCACTGGACAAAAGAACACATGTGCCTTGCACATGCCAGGCAACTGAGCTACACTCCCAACCCTTTCTCTATTTTGAGACAGTCTTGCTAAGTTTGCCAGGTTGGCCTTGAACTCACCCAGTTTTTTAGGTTGGTGGGTAGGCTGCAAAAGTTGGAGACTGCTCAATTTATAACATTTCACCATATTCTACACCAAAGGCCAGAGAGCGGTAAATACGGAGGTATAGGTGAGAAGCACTTCCTCATGACACCAGAGCAGTCAAGGCAGAGAAGCAGGGAAAATACTACCCTGGGCATGTTCACACTGGTAGCTTACCCTGTCTATCCTGCGTGTTCTCACTGTGAATGGACAGGATCTATACTTTTAAAATGGCTTAAAGCAAGAGGATTCTTTGATGAATCCTCCCAAAGGTTGCAGTGTTTTAAACCACAGTGGCCTGCAGAAGGAGGTACTAAGAGAACCACCAGTTTTGTTTTCAGGAGTAGAACAGGGAAGCTTGACAACCGCTGGGCACAACTGCCCCATCTCAGAACACCAGGAGGCTGGGAAGCCAATCATTTCAAGATCCACTCACTAAGAAAGTTTGAGATCTGCTGATCATGTATAAGTACACCTCACATAAATCCTGTGACACACAACTTTTTCATGTTAACAGGTATGTTTTGTAAACAAAATTGTTTTCCTAACACTGGCTTTATAGGGTGAACAGTTCTGAAAGTCTACACCTCTGACCTGGGTTTCTCACATTTTATTCTGAATGAAGGTAGATAATAACATCTGGATTAAGCTATTTAAGATCTGGGGATTTGGGCTGTAGTTTTTTAATTTGTTCTTCGTTTTATTCCAACTCTGAATCTGCTGTATCCAAGGTCTCATTCCTGGTCAGGTTTGTGTTTGTTCCTTGCTATGAATTCCTGCTTCTAAAGATGCCTTTGAAGATTCCCATTCTTGTTTCATTGTCTTGCCTCAGCCCCTCTCTCTCATTTTTTCTCTTTTCCCTACTAATATTACTATTTCTGAGTGTCCTAAACGCTGATTTTTATGCAGTTGGTTTATGTTACGCTTTTAACACTTGAGGTTGTATTTTCTATAGAAATTCTTGTAATTTTCATTTTTCTCAAATGGATTTAAATTTCTCTCTTATTTACCATGAATAATTAAAATATATGTGCTTGTAAAACAAAACAAAACAAAACAAAGGCTAATTAACTACAATGACTAGTCTGGCTGTGAAATCCCCTGAAGCAGGTTGGATTTACCATAGAATTCTGACCACATGGAGACAGGCCTGAGTTCTTTATTTGCATAAATTGGGGACCTCTAAGAAAGCAACAGGACCCAAAACATGAGTCCATGATAGTTGTAACAGCAGGTATAGTTTCAATATTTTGGTTTGAATTCTGGATAGCAAACTTAAATGTTTTCACAATGGAAAAACAGAATGGAAGGCAGGAAATCCTGTGTTTCTGCTGCTGGCAACGGCTTCAGAGAAGATTCAGAACAAATTCATGTCCTGGACCAGTCCTTGCCTCAAACGAAGATTTGCAAAAATCAAAGCACCTTAGAGTTGGTGAAATCTGCTGCCAGCCATGATGGGTAACTAAAATTGGACTTAAAATTTTGTCCAAAATGAGGGGGAAAGTAAGCAAAATTCCAAACCTACAAATAGCTTTCAGAAAAAAAGGTGAAACAAGCTACTTTTCAGACAATAAAACTTAAAATAATTCCTGTTTTTTGTTTGTTTGGTTTTTTGTTTGTTTGTTTGTTTGTTTTGTTTTGTTTTTCGAGACAGGGTTTCTCTGTGTGGTTTTGGTGCTTGTTCTGGATCTTGCTCTGTAGACCAGGCTGGCTTTGAACTCACAAGAGATCCACCTGGCTCTGCCTCCCAAGTGCTGGGATTAAAGGTGTGTGCCACCACCGCTCAGCAAAATAATTCATCTTTAACAGATCTGCAGGTGGGTGCGCAAAGGGGTATCAAATGAAAATCTATATGAAACGAAGTCAAGTGCTCAAAGGGTAGCTGTGTGAGCAAAAGTTTTCCAGTCCTGATGCAAATCTCCTAAAAAGATTACTGCTGCTGTTGAAAACAAATGCAAAAAGGATATTGGTTTAGCACTTATATAAAAGAAAAAGAACAGAAGACTAGGAGGAAGAAATAAAAGCACATAGCTATGAACTTAACCTACTTAGACATAGTAGTGCACACCAGCACTCAGAAAACTGTGTCAGAGAACCAAGTGAAGTTCAAGGCCATCTAGAGCTACAGTGAGACCTTGCCTCAAAAGCACAATAGCAACAAAAACAGGAGAAAAAAAATACTATTTTCCTGTATGAGAAATGTTGTATGTTTCCTGTATGAGGAGAAATGGGAGACTATGATAAGTTGAAAGCACATATTATAGGGCTGGAGAGATGGCTCGGAAGTTAAGAGCACTGGCAGAGAACCTGGGTTCAATTCTCAGAGTCCACTTGGCAGCTCACAACCATCTGTAAGTCCAGGGGATCTGATACCCTCTTCTGGTCTCTGCAGGCACCAAGCACATACATGGTGGACAGACATACATAAGGCAAAATGCGTATACACTAAACAGATAACCACCATCTTTAAAAACAGAATATAGTACAGTGGTTGGGAAGATGGCTGAGTGGGTAAGAGCACTTGCTATGCCAGCATGCGGACCTGAGTGCAAATTCCTAGCACCCACATAAGAAGCTGGTGTGGCTGTGCACACCTGCAACCCCAGCACTGTGGAAGACAGAGGCAGGAGGGTAACTAGGGCTTACTGGCCACCTACATGGCTCAAGTAAGACAGGACACTGAACATCCTCCTTTGTCCCCTACACATGCCTCCACATAGAAACACAGCCCCCATACCCCCTCTACCCCGCAACCTCCACACACAAACCCTGAAGCAACTAACAGGTTTTGTTTTGTTTTTGTTTTTCCAGACAGGGTTTCTCTA